TGCAACAGTCCCTGTCGTCGGTATGTGCACAGCTCAACTTACCGTGCCTGGTCATCAAGTGGTCGTCCTTTTTAGCGTGCTTGCAACATGTCCCCACGACCTAATACTAGGCCTCGATTTTCTTGCCGCCAATTCTGCTCTGATTGATTGCTCCGCTGGTGTGCTCCGCCTTGAACTGCCACAAATCAGTGCCGCCCCGTACCAACATACATGCCGATTACAATGCAGCGACTTTGTTCGCCTGCCCTCCAAAACGGTGACGTACGTCGATTTTCTGTGCTCACCAGCTGTGCCCGACGGTGACTATTACGCTACGCCTCTCACCGACGTACTCCTTGCGCACATTGTTGCAGTGCCCTATACGGTGCTCAGCATCACAGATAACAAAACTTGTGTACCTCTTGTCAATTTCGGCTACATGCATGAATCATGTGCTTCCACAAGGCATTTTTGTGGCCCACCTGTGTCCGTTGCTCGATTCAAAAATTGAAGTACTTGCCTTAGACACACTTGTTTCACCGCAGCGCACATCACTCGCAACACATTCGGGCAGCCGTCAAATTGTAGACATGATCGCCACTGATCTTCCGCCTCCACAAGTTGAAGCCCTACAACATCTTCTCGAGGCCTACCAGGATCTTTTCGATTTTGGCGACCGACCTCTTGGGCAGACGTCCTTTGTCCAGCATAGCATACACACAGGTGATGCCAACCCTGTTCACCGCCGTCCCTACAGAGTGTCTGCTTTTGAGTGGAGCATAATTCAGAAAAAGGTGAACAAGGTGCTAGCGAAGGACATTATTGAACCATCCTCCAGTCCCTGGGCATCCCCGGTGGTATTAGTTAAAAAGAAGGACGGGTCGTGGCAATTTTGTGTGGACTATCGCCACCTTAACAACATCACCAAGAAAGACGCATACCCTCTGCCCCGCATTGACGACGCCCTTAATTGCCTCCATGGTGCCGCCTACTTTTCCTCCATCGATCTTCGTTCTGGTTATTGGCAGATTGCCGTGGACCCCATGGACCGAGAGAAGACGGCTTTTGTAACACTCGATGGCCTCTACCAATTCAAATTTAGTCATGCCTTTCGGCTTATGTATAGCCCCCGCCACCTTTGAACGAATGATGGACTCCCTGCTCCATGGATTCAAGTGGTCTACGTGTCTTTGTTATCTGGATGACGTGATTGTATTTGCTCCCACTTTTGAAGCGCACCTTGAGAGACTGTCGAAAATTCTTGATGTATTCCGTCTCGCCGGCCTTCAGCTGAATTCATCCAAGTGCCGGTTTGGTCGCCGTCGCATTACAATATTTGGACATATTGTTGACGCTTATGGCGTACAGCCTGACCCAGAAAAAGTTCGAGCTGTGAAGGACTTTCCTGTGCCAAAAACCGCCAAAGATGTCCGCAGCTCTGTGGGGCTCTGCTCCTATTTTAGGCGCTTCATCAAGAACTTCGCGGAAATCGCTCGGCCCCCTAACAGATTTACTCAAACCAGATGAGACGTTTACCTGGGGTCCCTCGCAAGCAGCAGCATTGTCCGACCTGACCACTTTGCTCACTTCTTCTCCTGTGCTGGCTCACTTCGACCCTACGGCACCGACCGAAGTGCGCACCGATGCCAGTGGTTACGGAATAGGCGCTGTGTTGGCTCAGCGACAGCGTGGGCAGCATCGCGTGATAGCTTATGCCAGCAGGCTGCTGTCCACCTCGGAGCGTAATTATTCCATCACAGAGCGCGAATGCCTAGCGCTGGTGTGGGCAGTCGCGAAATTTCGCGCATACTTATATGGCCGACCATTTATAGTTCTCACCGACCACCACGCTCTCTGCTGGCTCGCCTCCCTCAAAGATCCCACAGGTCGTCTCGCCCGCTGGGCACTCCGCCTACAGGAGTATTCTTACACCGTGGTGTATGAATCAGGAAAACTGCACAAAGATGTGGATTGTCTGTCACGCTACCCTGTGGCCGACTGCGATCCTACGAGCACTGATTCTGTGGGCTGCGTCCTTTCCATCTCCCAGCTGCTTCATCTCGGGGACGAGCAGCGTCGCGATCCGGATATCAGCTGCCTAATACAACAGCTCGAATCTTCACCGCAAGACGCTTCTGTTCGCATGTTTACCTTAAAGGACCACACCTTATATCGGCGTAATTTATCGCCCTATGGTCACGACCTACTTCTGGTCATACCAAAGCACCCGCGTTCCACAGTCCTACGTGAGCTCCATGACGCGCCAACCGCGGGTCACCTTGGTGTCTCTCGCACATATGACCGTGTCCGCCGCCGCTTCTACTGACCTGGCCTTTCACGCTCTGTACGTCGTTATGTCAACGCTTGTGAAATTCGCCAGCGTCGCAAAAAGCAGTCGGGACTCCCTTCCGGATATCTTCAGCCCATCGACATCCCACCGGAGCCATTCTTCCGTGTTGGTTTGGACCTTTTGGGTCCCTTCCCAACATCCGCCTCCGGAAACAAGTGGGTCGCGGTGGCTACGGATTACGCGACCCGTTATGCAGTTACGCGAGCCATGCCAACAAGCTGCGCTACAGACGTCGCTGATTTTCTACTACGCGATCTCATTTTAGTGCAAGGAGCCCCTCGTCAACTGCTGACAGACCGAGGCAGTACGTTCCTTTCGATAGTGGTTGACGATACCCTTAGTTCCTACTCTACCCAACATAAGCTCACAACATCGTACCACCCTCAGACAAACGGGCTTACAGAACGTTTAAACCGCACCCTGACGGACATGCTATCGAAACACGTCTTGGCCGACCATCATGATTGAGACCTTGCACTACCCTACGAGACGTTCACGTACGATTCCTCCCGGCATGACACTGCTGGGTACTCGCCATTTTACCTTCTGTTTGGAAGCAAACCAACATTGCCATTGGATACCTTCCTGCCAGCCGCTGCGCAGTCTACTTCTGAATATGCACGTGACACTATTACCCGAGCTGACCATGCTCGTCAGCTTGCCTGCAGCAGATTAATGGCGTCCCAAGACTCGCATAAGCATCGTTACGACAAGCGGCATCGGGATGAACTCTTTCTAACATGTTCCCTCGTTCTTCTTTGGTCCCCTATGCGACATGCAGGCTTTTCAGAAAAACTTCTCTCTTGTTTCACGGGTCCATACCGCGTGCTTAGACGAGTGACCGACAATACATATGAAATTGTCCCTGATAATCCATCAACCTCTTCCGCTCTGCTGTCAGGGGACATCGTCCACGTATCAAGGCTCAAGCGTTACCACACTGCTCCTGCTGTGGCCCCGTAAACTCGCCGGGTCGGCGCTTTTGCCGCCGGGGGTCGTGTTACGTGATTTCGTTTGACTGAAAGAGGGCATAGTGCATACCCAAGAAAGGTGCCTCAGACTGATAGTGAAGAAGTGGACGTTGTCGGTGAGCTGCGTTGTGGCTGCGGACTGACAACTGTTATTTTCTACGTAACAATATGGTGGTTTTGGGACGTTAAACCCCACATATATATCTATCAATTATCGCCATATAAAGGTCTCACCAACTTTAGCAGCAAGTGCACCTTCAAATTTTCAAAGCCTTCCTCAGTTCCTTGCGATCACAGTCAATAAGTATTGGTCGCAAGTGAGCAGCTTACGAAAACAATAAACGACAAAAACAAAGAAAATTCATTTGAAGCAGTGGATATATCCACCGCGAAAATCCGATCACACATGGTCTTCACCTCACGTGCCCTCGTGTTGCTTAGGCTCTTCATTTGTAGCACTCGTTTGCCCGAATGAAATCTCGATTATCCTTTTAAGTTTTCGCTAATATCTCGTCCCACTAATAAGAACCGCTCTTGCTTTTACTACTTGGAAATTTACCAACTATCCTAAAATTTTAGCCCATGTGGACCCACTGGTGACATTCCGCAGCTATCATCAGCATCGCCTTGGAATCTGTGACCGGCCTCACTCGAATGTTTGCGAGGCAGTGCGGAATTATCTCAATGGAACGAAAAAACTAACAGACTAATATTATTATTCTGTGTCGACATGCGCATAACTTCTCCCTTTTTTCTTTTTTTAAAGTTAGGTTTTGATCTAGATTATTATCTATTACTAATACAAAATCTTTTTAGTAATTACATTTTAGTGATCATCAAAATTTCATTCTAAAATTTGTAACGTTTTCAATTTTTAAGTTCCTTTACTCTAAAATTTAATAATATACTATCAGACCACTCAATTATTGGCCGATCCCACACAGTGGGTATGAGCCACAAGTGAAGGGCAACAAGAACAAGAAGTACCGTGAACTGGCTGCAAAACCAGCCGGGTTTGGAAAAACCAGCCGTCTGGTCGGCTCCCAAAATCAAGTTGTAGCTATTAGGGTCTACTTTGTTGTTGATTCTTTTTTTCTCACTATCTAAACCTTTGGTTTATTTCTTTTTTTTAACATACTGTCTTCACTATACAACTCCCCCCCCCCTTTTTTTCGTTGTAAGCAATAATGTAGTTATCGTCTATATGAAACTATATGTTCTCTTGGCAAATCCCCCAGAGTGGGTACGAGCCATGGATTAAAGGATACAAACAAACAAACAAACTGGCTGCGCCTATCAAGTGAGTGAAGCATGCCTTGAGGGCGTTAGTGCCCAATGGCCGACGAGCCTACTGGACCGGCTGCAAACCGTGTAGTCGACGCCCACAAACAAGCTTCGGAGGACGTTGGCGGCGATGTCTACGGTGGGGAAAATTTCACGGAAGACCGCGCACGTCTGCAGGTAGAGCGCTGTTTGGTGAGTTTGTCAACCAGCACACTGTCGTCAAAGGACGCCGGGTCTGAATTGAGGGCCGATCCATGTCCAGTCTCTAGGGAGAATGCAGAGGGCTGCGCTCAGAAACCAGTCCCTACGGCAGACCAGTGCGAAGAGCGAGACGTCAGCAAAGATGCCCCTTCCGGAGACGGAACATGTGTTACAGGTGACCGCCGCTCAAGGGACCAAGTTCAACCAAGAAAGAGATGCGGAAAGAAAAGGGGGATGAAGATGAGAGGTCGGCCAAGATTGGTGACGCATTAAAATTGGAAAGCGACCTTGATCTGATGTCCGTCGGCGGTTGGGGAGAGAAGATAGGGCCGGGCGTCATCATGGCATTTCCCATGTACGAAGCCAGAACTCTTTTAGACGCCGAGGACGAGGACGAAGTCGTGAGAAGATTCGCTATTTTCTCGGAGGAGCGCTGCAGCCGCGAAACCCTCTCTCGACGAGGTGGAAAGCGTAAAGATCCTCCCTGCGACGAAATGAAGGCGCCGCGATCCCGGTCACGGTACAAGCAACCACCGCTGGACGAGGACGACGAAATGAAAGCGCCGCGATCCCGGTCACGGTTTAAGCAACCACTGCTGAACAAGGACGACGAAATGAAGGCGCCGCGATCCCGGTCACGGTACAAGCAACCACCGCTGGACGAGGACGATGAAATGAAGGCGCCGCGATCCCGGTCACGATGCAAGCAACCACCGCTGAACGAGGACGACGAAATGAAGGTGCCGCGATCCCGGTCATGGTACAAGCAACCACCGCTGGACGAGGACGACGAAATGAAGGCGCCGCGATCCCGGTCACGGTGCAAGCAACCACCGCTGAACGAGGACGACGAAATGAAGGTGCCGCGATCCCGGTCACGGTACAAGCAACCACCGCTGGACGAGGACGACGAAATGAAGGCGCCGCGATCCCGGTCACGGTGACAAGCAACCACCGCTGAACGAGGACGACGAAATGAAGGTGCCGCGATCCCGGTCACGGTACAAGCAACGACCGCTGGACGAGGACGACGAAATGAAGGCGCCGCGATCCCGGTCACGGTACAGGAAACCATCGCTGGACGAGGACGACGATACACAACGCGCGCTTGGAAAACGTTGGCGCGGAACCGTTCGCGAAAGTCCAAAACGGGAAAGCCCCGACATTACACTCGTTCACAACGTAGTAGATAACCTGATCGAAGAATTTGAAGCTTCACATATTCTCAAGAAACCGCTGCCACGCCCTTCGTCGTCGCCACGTCGGGGAGACCGGTCTCCTCGGAGGAAAACTTCACCAGCCAGGACACGGTCTTCGCCAGTGCGTAGTCTGAAGAGATCGCCTCCCCGTAGTCCGGGAGCAGTGTCGCGGTTGAAGAGCTATGTTTCAACTGTGATCCGCAGCCGATCGTCTTCGGATGAGCCTGACGAAAAGGAACTGGAGCGTGTGTGGACAGTTTGCTCCTTGCTGGAGTCTATCACAGGAGACGTGACGACAGAAGCGCGACGGGTGTACGAGCCACGCGGTGATAATTTCCAGGCAAAAAACAGAGCACTCAGCGGTGACACAGATCCCGACCGAATCAACGAAGACGAGTTCCAAAACTATGCCGATAAAAAAGGCAAGCAGTCTTCAAGAAGAAATCGAGCGAGAAATAACAATAGAGAGAAGGCAAAAGCCGAGAAAGCGCGCAGGAAGTCATCAGAAAAGAAGACCGGTAGCAACTCTGGAGCACGAGCAAGGCGGAGGAGCACATCGAGGAAGGAAGAGGAGCCAGAACGCGACAAAAGGCCCGAACGAAGGGAGAGAAGGTACAAGGCTCGAAGACGATCTGGGCCAAAATCGAGACGCGAGGAGGAACTGGAAGACGAGGAAGAACATCAAGTAGTCAAGGAAAGAGGTAAGACTCGAGGACGATCTAGACGAACATCGATGACGAGAAACAGAGTTTGAAAGCGAATCAGAGCTTGATATAGTCGCAGAAAAAGACACAGGCAAGTATCGAGGAGATTCGAGACAACAGTTTATAAGCGAAGCGGAGCTGAGCAGCGACGATGTTCAGCTGCGGAGGGACCGAAGCAAGCGTATCGAGTGGGTCAAAGCAGTAATAGATGAACAAAACAGCGATGGAGAAACGAGCTGCCACGGAAATCTCTGTTGAAGATCTCATCGAAACGGATGAAGCTGCGAGTGCAACAGAAAAAACACGTGTGAAAACACCCAAAAAAGGGAAGGACAGGAAGGTTCGGTTTTTCACTAACCTCCTGTTTCACAGGCGGCCGTCCCAAATTGCAGAATCATCTCTAACGGAACCCCACGAGGTTCCCGAAAAGAGGCCGGGAAAAATTTTCTGGAGGGAGCATGACGCGGCAGTACTGCGAGCCTCGTCTGATGGAACTGACGCAGGGATCCAATCGAGCCAAGAAGGAAGCTGCTCTACAAAACAGGATATAACAAGGCGATCCTCTTCAGGTAAGCTTTTTCTCACAATAGAACCTCAGCGCAACCTCAGACGCACTCAGGATGACACGGAAGACGGCCGTTATTCAAAACTATCAAAAGTCCAAGGCATAACAATAGAAATTGACCCCAATGTATCTGATGACGACGAGTCACCGCGACAGCCGAAAGAGAACTACTACTGTGAGGTTCAAGAACCTAGCCCCAAGAATGAACGGCAAGTCAAAAACACAGGAAACGAGATATTGCTGATAGATCGAAGTGGATCGAGCGGTCTGGTCATGCGCAGTCTGTCATCGCCCGACAGTGATGGCATCGAGCTCAAAACTGATGTCCGGCAAACATGTCCGTCGTCCGAAGACATCTATCAACCCTTGGCAGTAGACGATGAACGGCCGATCTTCAGAGCACGCATAGGACGACGTCGCTCGGCCATGCCGCCAGACGAGCCAGCTGAAGACGAAGAGGATGTGCGCGTATTCACTACGCGAATAGGTCGCCGTAGCAATGTGTCGGCTACCAGTTCTGTCACGCGGGCTGCTAGCGTCGTGGGCACTGAAAGCGATCGCAGGAACTTGCGTCACGTCCTATCCGACGACATTTCGATTACTCCAGCTGCGCGGAGGCCGTCTAGCCAATCGTGTCTATTGAATTAGAGCTACCGCGTGAATGGTCGGTCGAGCCATGCCGCGCAGAATCCGCCAGTGCTATCTTGCGCAGACCCTACAGACAGCATCGTTCCCACTGGCCCAGATCCAGGTCCAGGTCGCCCCACCGGAGGTCAAGGTATGGCAGACCGCTGTGTGATTTCAGGCCCTCGTCGCGTATGTCACGCACACTGCAACTCATTCGTGGCGCGACCCTGCCACCTTGCCAGTACATGTGTGCTCAGCCGCCTATCACTCAGGTGTACACGTCATTGCCTCCTGCGCCACCGCCTCTCCATCGGCCTCCCATGGTGCCGCCCCCATGCATGGAGCCGAACATCCGCTTAGAACACCGCTGGCATCGCAGAGCGCCCCCACTATGGGCTTTCCGTCCGCAGCCACCGCCGCATGAAAAGGAGATGATTATCACTGAGGAGATTCCACAGACGTCTCCCTGCCCCCATGATGGCCGCCAGCAAGGTGACGACGAACACATCGTTTGCAACTGCCATAGATTCCGAATTCCCCCAGCAACAGCAACCGGAGCAGCAGGAACAGCAGCAGAAAACCTTCGTTATTTATCATGGTACCACAGTTCGAAGGGCCTTCGGCACAGTTCAACGTGCCTACCGAGACTGTTCCACCGGAAACAGACGGCCGTTGTAGAACAGCCGGACGAGGCGCTCGTTTGCGTTACCGCGACACCAGCGACATCGGCGAGGCGATCTGATTCGACGCCATGTCCCACGATTGTCAACATCTACAGAAATACGTCCCAGCAGCACGGTGCAAAGTGTCGATGTTGTCCAATATGCAGAGAGCTCGCAGAGGAACGACAGTTCAAGCTCTGATACGCATGTCACAACTGTCTGGGAATCTCGCTTTTTGGATAACTGGGAACAAGAAAAACCGCCACCTGAGGTGAAGCCCATTGACTTGATGATTCCAAGAGAGAGCCGTTTCTACGGTAACTTAGTGAAAAATTTGCCTCAACGTGGTCCCAGCATGCTTTATATTATCCTGTTGGTGGGAATACTCGCAGGAATGGCAGCAGTCTTCAGCACTTATGCAAGGCGTCATGCGCAACGCGGCATCACGGAAATTGACTCCGATACCGAAGGTCAGCAGCCGTGGATGTTTGGCCCGTTGGTGAGTGGCTAGCCCTGCCAAGAGGGTATCGTGCCTCGACCCATCATGCATCACTCAGTTTGTACAGCTGTCTCGGTCACTAGATTCAACCGTGAACCCTTGCCAGAACTTCTATGGTCACGTATGCTCAGTGCGACAAGCCAATGGCACAGTGGACGAGCAAATGACAAAACTCATCGAATCCCGTGTCGTGGGCTTTTTCAAGGGCATCGGCAGTCCCGACAGAGATTTGCCTGTGGCGTCAGCGTCGAGACGTCTGTGGAAAGACTGCGTCGATCTGGCCACGCTGAACAAGTTAGGTCGGGTGCCCTTGCAAGCACTGCTCAACCTAAGTGGCTTGAGCAGCTGGCCATACGCATACGCCACGCAGTCGGGACAAGTGTGGAGGTCAGCCGGAAGGCTGCAACGGCTCATGGGGCTGGCACCACTCGTCGGTCTTGTCGCACTGCCTGACGGCTCCATACAGCTGATCCCGGGCGACCAGGGAAGTCTGGAAGCTGACGATGTGCTGGATTCGATGCTGGCAGTGCGGCGCAACAACTCTCGTCTGCGCGATTTGGCGGCAGACGTAGCTGACCTGGGACGTCGGCTGAGCGGTTTGCGTGAGCGCAACGCGCCATCTGACAGCGTCGATATGCAACCGCCGCGGCTCTTCCTGGATGCTGCGCTGGAAGGCTTGCAAAAGCCCACCGCAGTGCACGTAGCTGAGGCTGGACTGCTGAGGCAATACGTGCTCCTCGTAAACAAGAGCAGCTCCCGATCGGTGCTCAACTTGCTCGGCTACAGGCTTATCCGGCACGTCGACCTCTTCACGCCAGCTATTGTTAAGAGTGACCTCAGCTCGGGAGCGTCGGCAAGAAGGTATGTCGATGGTAATCACTAATTGTCGCTGGTCTCTTGTCCTGCTCGCTCATCAGACACTAATCAGACCAAAACTTGAATACGCATGCACATTTTGGGACCCTCATAAGAAAAACAATACTAATTAACCACTTGAAACAGTGCAAAGCCGGGCAGCAAGATTCAGCTTTTCAGATTATTCTTATCAGTCAATCGTAATCGAACTTAAACCTCGTGCTAACCTCGCTACCCTATCGTCATGCTGCTGTATAGCTCGTCCGTGCCTGTTTTTTCAAGTTTTATTATGCATCACCTCATACTCCCACCATCAAGCCAGCCCGTCGTCATTCAGACCGCATAAATCACGGGAAAGCTGTTTACCCGCCAAGTGCTCACACCTGTGCGCACCTTTCATTTTTTTTTTTTTTTTGTCAAGACCGCACAAGATTGGAATGACCTTCCTCCTCACGTTGTGCACCACTCCAGTATGCAACGATCGAGCATCTACCCCTTTAAATCTGGTGTTTAACGTCCCTAAACCATGGTATGATTATGAGAGACGCCGTAGTAGAAGGCTCCGAAAATACCCGAAAATAGCCCACCCCCTTATGTAAAACCTCTTCATTGAGGCATTTGAGCTGTTCTAAATAAATAAATAATAAATAATAATAAATAAATAATAAATAAATAATAAATAAATAAGTAAATAAATAAATAAATAGCTCTGTAGCTGTGTGTTGAAAAAAAAACAGGCTATTTGATTTCAATAATAGATAGTTGTTTGTATCAGAAGCAACAAGCTACGTTTGATTGGTGTTTTCTGAAGCAACACAAACCAAAGGCAGTGA